AAAAATGTCAAGTACTATTACACATTTCCACTAACTAATAAAGTATTACTCCCTCCGTCTCAATACAATAGTCTTGTTTACCATTTTTGTCTGTACCAAAATAATAGTCTTATTTCTATAAATAACCATATTACCATAAAACTAGCCATATATATATATTTTTTTATTACACAATTATCATTATTTTTTACACTAATACACTCGGCAAAAAAGTGTCTTTTATCCATACTTTTTACCAACTACCAATATAATATAAATATTCTTTAAATCCTATGTCCAACCCAATTAAGATTATATTTATGGGACGGAGGGAAGAAATATTATTTTTTAATTTATTACAAATTTTCAAAAGATCACTTTCATACATGACAGAAAAAATATCAAATTAAAATATTATTTAAATTAAAAAGTTATCGTTCAAATCAAAATGAAACAAACCCTTCATATATATAATAATATAAATTTAGGTCACTAAACACAAAATTAATTAGGTAGCATAAAACGTTTTATAGTTAGTGGGTACTACATTAATTAAAATAATATTAATACTTTATCCTTTTCAACACCATTCTAAATTGCAACCCTACGTTACTCTATATGAATTAAATTAAATAAATTCCATTGTATTGACCTTGGCAATAATTATTAGAGCCACAATTATTCTTATGCAAATTATATACTATTATATTAAACCCTATAAAAATCACTAGGAATCTCACTTTTTACATACTAAACTTTAATAAAAGTATAAAGCAGCTTTTATATGAACTAAGGAGTTCAATATTTTTGACTTTTTTTTTTTTTTTTTATTTTATATATATATATAAAAAAATATAACAAAACTGATAAAAAATTAAAAAATAAAAAATTTGGAACTCAATTTACGATCAAGATTTATTCAAGTGAAAATTTTATTATATTTCGGAATTATATAATGAGTATTATAATTAGAGGTTTAGAAATATTATTATATTAAATTAAGATAAAATAGAAATAAAGATAAAAAGACTAAATTAACTCTATTAGTATTGTATGATATAAATATAATGATATTTATGTACTCCCTCCGTCCCACATACCGTGTCTGCTACGCTGTAGACAAGGTATTTTAGAAGAGATGTAATTAGTAGATAATTAAGAAGATATTAGTGAAAATAAGTATCCTATAATATAAATAATTATAAATTAAGACTAAGATAACTAATTAGTTTAATTAAAAAAAATTTGAAAAAAATTAAAAAGTTTAAAATGATATTAAAATGTGTAATCATTTTCCAAAAAAGGAAAGTGACATGGTACGTGGGACCGACAGAAATGGCAACGTGTACATGGTATGTAGGACGGGGGGATTAATATATTGTAAATTGAAAAGATATTTGTAATGTTAGGTAGATAATACAATTATTAAAAAGGAAAACGAATACTTTGTTATAAGACGGACCAAAATGTAAAAGTAAATAGATTAATAAGGGAGAAATGGAGTATATATTAATAATAGTATGAGCCATTATGGGGTTATCTATATTCGTCCTTTTCTTTTATTTTTTACATTTTCTAAAGTTTCTTAATTACATAATTTTATATAAATATATATATTTTTTATGTAGAAATATGCTGTTTTTCTTTATAAAATATTATATTGAATAATTATTTAAAATTTAAAGTGTAAATCTAAAATCTAAACACACCTACATCTACACCTAGAATACAAAGTGTTCGTAATATAAAAAATAATATTTATATTAAATTATTAAATTTTTTTAATAAAATAAATACACTATATATGTGATATATTATATTTCAAAACTGCACCGAAACAAAACCTGATGAGATGACCTCAAGAATAAATGGCAATATAAAATAAAACAACACAAAACCCTAACTTATATCATTTGGATAAGCCTAACCAAACCCTTAATTTCTAATCTTTTTTTTAAATAAAAAAATTTAAAAAACCATTGGAACAAACAAGAGCACTAACTCATCAACAATTATTATATATAATAAATAAATATATATATATATATATATATTAAAAAAATAAAAAACGAAAGCCACAATGAGATGTGATGAATAAAAAGGCGGACGAGAAGCAGCAGCAGATACAGACAATGTAATTTCATACTATATCTTTGCTGTCACCACGTAAGACCAGAACTTATAATAATAATAATTAAAATAATTAGAAAAAAACAATTCTATTTATTTATTTTCTATATAATAATTATAAGGTGCTAAAATGGAAAAGCCAGATCTGCCTTTCCATGTCAGTATTGTTGTATTGAAATCAAAGCCACCAAATTAGGTGTCAACTTTTTCCATGCTTCATCATCAACATAATAATGGCTTAAAAACAATAATAATAATAAATAAATAATGGTTTATATATATATATATATAAAGGTTGCAGTTCCTGTGTTTATCAAATCAATATTCGTTCCATCTTAAAACCAAGTATCTATTTGCTTTCTTACTTAGTTTTAAAAATATTAATATTATATTAAAATATAATAAAAATAAAATAAAAATGACTAAAATAATTTTATTAGTATATGTGATATAAATATAATATCATTTGTATAATATATTGTAAGTTGTAAGAGTATTTGTAATATCATTTGTGTAATACAATTATTAAAAAAGAAAATAAATACTTTGTTATGGGACAGACTTAAATAAAAAAAAAAGATACTTTGTTATGGGACGGAGGGAGTATGATAGCGTTATAATATATTCCCCCCATCCCAGATATTTTGTCCGTTTTACTATAGACACAGAAATTTAAGAGAGGTATAATTAATAAATAATTAAAAATATATTAATGAAAATAATTATTATATAATAAAAATAATTATAAATTAAGTTAACTAATTAGTATAATAAAAATTGAAAAAATTATAAATTAAATTTTTTAAAATAAAATTAAAGTGTATAATTTTTTTTAAAAAAAAAATTGACAAAATAAGTGAGACAGAAGAAAATGAAAAAATGGACATGAGAAGTGAGACGGAGGGAATAATATATATTGAATTATAATATAATATATATTATAAATATTTTTAGATATACTTCCCCGTCCCTTAACAATTTATCTATTTTTCCATTTTTTTTAATAATTGTATTATTTAAATATCATTCCAATTTACAATATATTATACAAATGTCATTGTATTTATATAATACAATATTGGTTAATTTAATCTTTTTACATTTATTTCTACTTTATCCCAATATAATACTAATATTCTAAAACTCCGTGAAAGCAAACGGATATATAGATATGAAACAAAGAGAATATATAAATATACATTGATTATTTGTATAATATATATTGACATAATCAAATCAGTTGACTTGACCGGATCAATTGCTGATCTAGGTAGATATATATTTAAAATTTTTGAAAAATATCTTCATTAATGAATATATATATACTTCCTCCGTCTATTTTCTATTATTCTAAAATATATTTACACGATTTTTTAGGTGATTGTCTTTTGTTATGAATTAACAAATTTGCCTTTAAGTGTGTGGTAGAGATTAAAAGTAATAAATGAACAAAGAGTAAAACTGTAAAATTTATGTTTAAAAGGACAATAATTGTTGAACATCCCAAATAAAAAAAATAGGATATTAATTTGTGAACAGAGCGACCAAATATGAGTGAGAAAGAAAAGAGAGGTCTTTTTGCCCTATGTAAATCTTTCTTTATTCCAACATCAAATCTTTCATATGGTTGAGTTGTTTCCTCTCTCTCTACCTTTTTATTTCTTTACTTTGTTTTTATTTTTTATTTTTTTTTTAATAATTTTTATAATCTTTGCGTTATCCATTTGAACACCTCAGGTTTGTCAGTTGTAGTTTATTTTCTTCTTTAAAAAAAAATAGGAAGACATAATAAAAATATAAATAAATTGAAGAATGCCTTTACCAATGTTATCCATTTGTGACTTAACCTCAAGCTTCAATTATAGTCCATCGTTAGTATCGTAACAAAATATTTATTTTTTTATTTTAATCTGTTTTATAATAAAATATTTTTTTTTAATAATTATATTATTTATCTAATATTATAAATATATTTACAATTTACAATATATTACACAAATGTTATTACCTTTATATCATACATACTAATAAGATTATTTTAATGAAATAATTACTTTTTGTAATTAGACGTATCAAAATAGAAATATATATACTTTTTAATTGGACAGATGAAGTACAATATACATATTTATTGTTTTATAAAAATAATATTTTATATAATACAATGCATAAAAAAATTAAAGATATAAAATAATATGATGAAAAAATAAAAAGATTTTAAATATATATAAGTATATTTCTTTTTCAGATAAAGATAGAAATAGAGGGCGTTTCACTTTATATTTCTGAATGAATTAATTTTTTATATTTGGTATTTAAAATTTTGTTAGTAATTTAAATATAATATTTTTTGTTGAGGGATTTTGATAAAAATTCATTATTCATCTATAATTTTTTTTAAAAATATTACATTAAACATCTATTTTTTATTTTTATATTATTTTAAAAATTAATTTTATTTTTAAAATATCACATCAACATCTATTTATATCACATCGTACAATTATTTCAATTCAAAACTTTTACTATTCAAATTCCAACACAAAATCTAAACTTCCAAACAATCATAATTTTGATAATTCAGACAGTAATATAAATTTTTGAATTTTTGTAAAATAATTCTTTAACAAAAACAAAGCTGCCAAAAGTTCCAGCCTTTTACTACATGAAATGAAACGAAATTTTGATTCCAAAATAATTTCAGACAAATATTTCAATTACCAACAAATATTTCTGACAAAAATTCCAACCCAGAAAGTACTTGCAGTCCCATGTGCCCTCCCCCTCTGCTTATTCCCCGTTCATACACCTGCGCTGCTACCTAATTCATATTATTGTCTTTATTCTAATTCCAAATTTCAATTAATTAATTAATAATATTGGAAACTAAATGGCACAAAATTAACAGCACAATTCATTGCATATTCAAAATTGGATCTTGAAAACAAAATTAATTCTCACACATTAATTTCTGATTTTCTTTTTTTTTTTTTTTTAAGAATCTTCTAGTTTAGTTAATTAATTTAATGCCTCCTCCCTCTCTCACAACCGAAGCCAATTCTCCACCTTCGATTCGGTACGGTTCCCAATCAACGGCCAGGATCAATGCATCTTGTCGTCTTCATCATCGTCTTCCCCGCGGTTTCCCTGCAACTGATCAAACCCTTCCTCCAATGCCCTCTTTTCCTGCTCCTCATCTTCTCCGATCTGCTCCGCCGATTTCCTCTCCGCCTTCAATTTCAGAGCCTCCAGCAATTCCGCCACCGCCCGGCGGCGATCGCGGCGGTTTTTTATCAGCACCTCGCTGATGTCCGCCGGAGTCATCTCCACCGCCGCGATCGCCGCCTCGAGCTCCCCCATCGCCGCCGCCGACAAATCGGAATCCGCCTCCACCCCCAAATAATTCCGCAGAAGAATCTTCAGCGCCGGACACGAACAATAACTCATATGAATGTGCATATCCATTCTCCCGCTCCTCAGCAATGCCGGATCGAGCTTTTCTATATGATTCGTCGTGAAGACGAAGATCCTTTCGCTGCCGCAGCACGACCACAGCCCGTCGGTGAAATTCAGCAGCCCGGAAAGCGTAATCGTATTCACCCCTTCCTCCGCCGCCGTCGCTGTCGCCGCCGTGGACTCTCCGCGGCTCCGCCGCGGACTCCTGCTCCCGCCGCCATTGCCGGAAGTTCTACTCCGATTAGCCAAATTAATCGAACAATCAATGTCCTCAATCACAATTATCGACTTCGAACTCGTCTTCATCAACAATTTCCTCAATTCAGTATTCGTATTCACCTCCGTCAATTCGAGATCATAAATATCGTACTTAAGAAAATTCGCCATGGCGGCGATCATACTCGATTTTCCGGTCCCCGGCGGTCCGTACAGCAAATACCCTCTCTTCCAGGCGCGGCCGGTTTTCCGGTAAAACGATTCGCCATTAGCGAAATCCTCAAGGTCCTCCATGATCTCCTTCTTCTTAACAGGATCCATGGCTAGGGTTTCGAAGGTGCTCGGATGCTTGAACGGTACGGACTCCCATGGATGCCCTCTCGAATCGAGCGATCCGCCGCGGGAATTCGTGTAGAGCAGCCGGTCCTGGTTTTTCCGGCGGAGTTCCGTGGCCTTCTCCATGATGTAATCGAGGTAGGAGTTGAGGACGAGGTGTTTGTGCTTTTTCCTGACGCGGAGAGTGAATCCTCTCTTCTCCTCCGGCAGCGGCCGCCATGAAAATGTCTGAGCTTGCCGCTGCGTGACGACGTGCTGCCACTCGACGGCGGCGCCGGCGAAGCAGTCGAGGAGGCGGTCGTTGTTGGAGAGGCCGAAGGTGATGGAGGAGGAGTTGAGGGCGCGCGTGAGGGTGAGGCGCGTGCCGGAGGAGGAGGAGGCGGAGGAGCTGAGGTAGAGCTGGACGGCGTTGTAGAGCTCGTTGGTGTTGACGCCGTCAATCTCCGTTATGTCGTAGTAGCAGTAGGCGGAGAAGTAGGTGAAGAGGCGGTGGAAGACTTTGAGGACGCCGTAACGGAGCTCCGGCGGGAAGACGGTGTGGAGGAGGCTCTGGCAGAAGGCCCACACTCCCATCATCGACGCCATTGTTGTCCACACCTCCTTCATCTCTGCCCGATTATCGATTGATTTCTCTGTAACACGAAATTGAAATTGGAGGAGACGAAGACGATGATGATGATTATGATGCTGCCGTGTATGTAAGTATATATATAATACTCCCACAGTAGTTATCAAGAGGTATACTCAATTAAAATTTTAAAATTTTTATAGAATATATATAGAGTCTTATTTATTAATTTATTTATTGAATTATTTATTGATTTACATTAATTTTATTACCATTTATAAAATTGTAAATTAAAAATGAGAATTATACGGTGCTGCTAATTTTAAAATTTTAACATCGATGTTTTTACTACACATAGCACAATGCAATTATAAGCTCATCTTCAATCGGATAATTCCATTTATGCAATAACCTGTTGTGCGGTCAATCTAATGTTTTACCTATTACGTGATCATAATTTGATGTAATATAGGAGAAGAGATCATCTCCACAGGGATTGTGTGATTCACTCTTTCGTGTTCTAATGCAGTAAATAAAATGGAGAATTTTCTTTTATTATCTATGAAAATAAAATAACAAATCAATTAAATTAAGGGGAACTGACTATCAAGGGATGTCTGGCTCAATGGGTGATGCAACTATGATACTTGTGTTTTATCATTAATTCAATAACGTTAATTTTTATTAAAGGATCAATAAATTGGTTATAGTTATCAACAAGCTCTGACAACCAATTTTTCTTATAGTGTAGGTAATTAAGGTACCACCGTTAACTATCCTTAATTAAGCAAATAAACCTAGGTGCGTCGATAAGAATTATTGTCTAATCGTATTCTAATCCAGAAAAACTCAATTCAAAACAATTACTACCTAAAAGGAGCAATTAGATTTGATTGTCTAACCCCGGGAAGGAACTATTCAACCCGATTGTCACATATTCAAGTGCGAATACAATTACGGATATCATACCTGAATTGAATTTAGATTATCAGACTAATTCAAATATCAGTACCAAAATATTCAATCAATCTAACAGTCACAAACGTTATTTTCAGAATTAATAATAAAAAAGAACTTTCATAAAGAAAATTAAGAATCTTCAAAACAATAGAACCAAAACATTATCACCCCTCAAACTAGAAAAGTATCTACTCCATAATCAAATAGCAAAGAACAAAAGAGAAAGATAAAGTCATAGTGGGAGGGGGAATCATCTCTGTCGATTTGCTCATGCGCGATGTATGAGTCTGTAAGTCTTCTACTCTTGTGCGTATCTGCTCTGGCCGTTCTCGTATTTGAAATGTGTGATCCCTGCCTTTTTATTTGATTTTTGTCATAATTATTTTGTAGCTGAGCTTTTTGGGTCTTTAATTAAATTCTCACGTCAGGACGGTATAGTTAATCATGACAATGACTAACTAGGTGGTGCAAATCTGAATTTTTCTTTCTTTTTTTTTCTGCCAATTATGTCAAATTTGATATTTGTCCTCTACACACATCAAATAAACAATACTCGTATAAATTATATAAAATCCAATCAAAATCACTCAAATATCGCATATGATATGAACATTTAACGCATGCGATTTCTAGCTATCATGCAACTATAACTTTAAAAATGCAGTTGCTATAGTAATTTAACTTAAACCCACAATTCTATTTTCAATTTCGAAAAAAATATTTTCTAAATATTCTATTTTATATATTATTTTAAAAAATTACATATTGGTCATTGTAGGAACCAATTTACAATTTGTAAAAATTTAAAATTTTTTAAAACAAATAATAAAAAAATACTATAATTAACGTTGCTACAAATACCTAAAATGGTGTTGGAAATGACGTTGCGTTGGAGAGGCAAATCTTCAAATATAGAGCTACAACGTCATTTTTTACGTTACTTTGAAGATGGCCTAAAGACATGTGATGTTTGCTCAAAATTAAATACGTACTGTATAAAAGTATGTTATGTGCTAAAATCAATTCTTGTGTGTTGTATGTGACGATAACATGTATTGTTGTTAATAGATGTATTTTATTTGTATTATATTAATACAAGAAATTTGTTACTACATAGTGTGTTGTTCAACACAGTGCTAGATTTTAAATTCAACATTGTAGCCGCCACTGTAAAAAATACATTAAGAATCTAGTTTGAGTACACCCATATTCTAAAAAGCTTTAAAAAATTTAAATTGAATATACTAAAATTTTAAAAATCGAATGAAATCCAAAAATTTCTAAATTGATACACCCCATAAGTTTTAGCTAAAATTTAATTGTTTTTAATTTGATTTTATCTATTAGATTTGATTGTTCCTTGCTTACAAAATTCTTTCTCATATGAGTTTTTAGATTAGATGTTCATTTATACTCTATTTATTCATTCACAAAATATATATATAGTTTTATTTTGATTTGTCTAATTATAAAGTAATTATTTTGTAGTAATTATATGTTGAGAATGATTCAAAGGCCGTTCCATAAAACTAGGAAGCATCAATTGAATAGTCAAATAAAAGTAGAAAAAAAAAGGAGTCAAGCTCTCCTATCTTCTCGGTTCAGTTATCTTCTCTTATCTCCAATGTATTGCCTATTTAGGCATATTTCTCATTTATGAGAAAATAAGATCCTGCAGTGCATTTCTTTGTTTATCTTGCTCTGCCTTTTCCAACATTTGTGGTATCAGAGCCGGTTGCAATCCAGGCTTCTGAAGAGTCACCAGCAACAAAATGTCATCAATTAATCCATCCCAACAACAGATCCCCATCTTTAAAGGTTATATGTATGAACATTGGAGCATTAAGATGAAAACGTTGTTTAGGTCACAAGACCTGTGGGAGCTTGTTGAAAACGGAATTCTGGCAACCAGCAAAGATGACAAGGAGATCTTCAAGAAAGATGCAAAGGCCCTATTTTTTATTCAACAAGCCGTGGATGAAACTATCTTCTCAAGAATTGCGGCAGTAACCTCAACAAATAAGGTCTGGGACACTCTCAAAACTAAATACCAAGGATCGGCGGAGGTAATCATGATAAAATTGCAATACCTTAGAAGAGACTTTGAGACAACAACTATGAAACACAACGAGATGGTACAGGACTACCTTGCTCGAATTTCGTCTATTGTTAGTCAAATGAGAGTGTATGGTGAAGGAATGGAGGACGCTATTGTTGTTGCAAAGATCTTAAGGAGTTTACCGCCCAAATTCGACCATGTAGTTGTAGCCATAGAAGAGTCCAAAGATCTCTCCACCTACACAGTTGATGAACTCATGGGTTCCTTGCAAACTCATGAGGTCAGAATCAATAGGAATGTAAACACAGAAGAAGCACAAGCCTTCCAAGTGCAAGGAGAGCAAGCATGAATTAGCTCAAATCGCAGCAGAGGTAGAGTGAGCTCTCGAGGAAAAGGACGTGGGAGACTGAACATGATGCAGTGCACATACTGCAAAAAATATGGACATAGAGAAAGTGAGTGTTGGAGTAGAGAACAATGCACATACTGCAACAAATATGGACACAAAGAAAGTGATTGTTGGAGCAAGGAGAAGCAAGCTCAATGTACAGAAGAAGAAGATTACTTATTTATGACGGAGGTAGGTTCACAAACTCTCTCTGATGAAATTTGGTATCTTGACAGTGCCTGCTCCAACCATCTGACATGAGATAAGAGAAAGTTCAAAAAATTAGATGAAACACACAAGTCACAGGTCAAGTTAGGAGATGACAAACAGATTCATATTGAAGGAAAAGCAACCGTGGCGATTAATATTGGTGGCCAAACAAAACTCATTTAGAATGTTCATTACGCACCAGGTTTGGCCCACAACTTAATAAGTGTAGGACAGTTGGTTGACTCTAGACACTCAGTTGTGTTTGAGAAAAATACATGTGTTGTTCAGAGAAAAACAGGTGAGGTGCTACTAGAGGCTAAAATGAGTGGAAACAAGATGTTTCATGTAAGTTTTTCACATTATGCAGTTTATGGAATGTTCAGCAAAGTTGACAATCCTGATATATGGCATCAACGGTATGGTCATCTCAATATTAAAGGACTGCAATTACTTGTAAATAAAGGAATGGTGAAAGGTCTTCCCACTATCAAGGAGTTGTCCCCTGTATGTCATGGATGTGCGCTAGGGAAGCAGGCAAAACGACCATTTCCCATTGGAAAATCAAAAAGAGCAGAAGAGAAACTTGCACTAGTCCATGTTGATATTTGCGGTCCAATGCAAAAGAAAAATTGCATGCTGGTAGTAAGTATTTCCTACTATTTATTGATGACTTAACACGGATGTGTTGGGTATATTTTCTCGCTTGCAAGTCTGAGGCATTTGAATGCTTCAAAAAGTTCAAAGCTCTAACAGAAAATCAAAGCAACCAAAAGGTTAAGGCACTAAGGACTGATCGAGGAAGGGAGTTTTGCACCACAGAATTCACTGAGTTTTGTGAAACACACGGAATCAAAAGGGAACTGACAGCTCTATACACCCAGGAGCAAAATGGCATAGCTGAGCGCAAAAACAGAACTATAGTGGAAATGGCACGTTGCATGATTAACACAAAAATGTTGCCAACAGAATTTTGGGCTGAAGCTGTTGCTACTGCAATCTACTTGATCAACATCTCCCCTACAAAAGCAGTATGGAACAAGACTCCTTTTGAAGCCTGGTATGAATTCAAACCCTCTGTCAATCATCTTCGAATTTTTGTTTCTTTATGTTACGCAACGGTAACTTCCAGCCGCCACAAACTTGAGGCAAAAACAAAGAAATACATTCTTGTTGGTTACTGCTCAAACTCAAAGACGTACAAATTATTTGATCCTGAAAAAAGGCAGATAGTGATCAGTCGAAATGTTCAGTTTGATGAAAAACAGATTTTAGAAGGAAATGGTGCAACAGGAACTTCCATGCAGAACATAATTTCCTATGAAGAGGGCAATGATGAAGTAATCATGGCATGAAAAGGTCTGATCCTACAGCGCCAACTCCACAAAAGGATAATGATCAAAGTGGTGAAGAAACGCCAATTGCTGAAACAGTTCACAGCAACAACTCCACAGGAGTTCTCGGGGCTTAAT